TGTCATCGAAATCTCAATCGTTGCTCCGCAAGCGACGGAAGTGGAGAAACTGTGAGTCGAGCATTCCCTCTGGGTGTGGGTACGGTGTGTAGAGAGCAGGTGGGAGTGCGAGTGGTATCAGTGTTGGTCTGTTGGTCGGTATAAGTTTAATTTTGATTTCTGGAAAATTATAATTGACCCGGAAATGTTCACTCTAATGTGTGTGGAAGATGTATTCATTGTACAAAACCAGGGTTTAGATTTTTATGGTCGATGCGGCATGATTTTTTTCTGAGACGTAATGAACTTAAAATGACATTCCACTCCGCCTGGATTGTACGTTGAGCCATAGTTGTCAAGGAGAGCGCTGTTTGCGAGTACCTATTAAGCCCTGCACGGCCTACAGTGCAGAGAAGATGTGCAGTGTGCGGGGCTGGTGGGTTGAGGTTTCGCCTCCCCCATCCCCATCTCGCCAGCCACCTACCCCTACCCCAAACTCTCGTCCCCTTGCTCGCTACAGGCCACCCCCCTGCCCCTCACCCCTTGTTGTAGGAATGAATGACCCAGAACAATGCGCGCCATCAGTGGTAGAGGCAGTAGGGCGGCGATGGAGTGGGGGAGGTGGTTGGGGTGACGTGGGGGGGGTATCCGTAATTGCCCTGGGTTCGAATGACCATACTGAACAGAATTACGATAATGATGGTGAAGAGGATAGAATATGGATGATGATGAGAGTGAGGTTGTTTAGACGTAGTTATGAATTATCATAATTGTGCTATAAGAATAGGGTTTGCCCTTTCTGGCAATAAAACAGGTGTTATAATGTAAAAATATCAAACAGAAACCTTTTACACGTACTAATGTATGCATTCACCAATAACCACATATACTTGTGGTGAACATGCAAAAAATAAAACACAGACTCGCCTAACGTGACAATTCTAGATTTCATATAAATCAAAACCGGTGCAGGTCCCGCCGATCTTGGGGCGTTCGTATTTTTGGCTTAATTTAAATAATTAATCCTCGCTCATTTTACCCCCCCCCACCCCCCCTTGAAATCTCGAATGTTCGCGCCCAGCTCCGAGACAAACGTCTCGTCCAATCAGAGCGGCTTTTGGGGAGCCTCTGACCAATGAGAGGCGCGCAAACATCGCCGCTCGCCGTGGCACCGTCAGCGGCCGCTGTGGTTACTGAGCGCGAGACGAACAATTACAACAATAATTATTTATATTTCTACTCTTGCTAAAATAATTATAGAATTATAATCTTAATAAATAGCATCATCGTTTGCTTTGCCACGCCCGTTCCGACGCGCGGAGGGAAATATGGGTGGTATGCTGAAGTTGAGCGAGCAGGTGAGAACCATGACCATGTTTTACAATTGAATGCATTAATGTTATCCCTATATTGAGTGACAAAATGTTCTCGTAATGATTGCTGGTATAAACGCTTTAAATTAAAGTGCTAAATCTGTGCACGTTGAATGCGGTCTCGCGATATGCACCGGTGTCCATATGCGTGCGTCGCAGTCCACGTGTCTTCGCGTCCTTCACACGCGACTACTCAATGATCGCAAACCGACAAACGCGTTTCACGTCTCGTGTTGTTATCAATGTCGTTTCACGACTTTGCAATCGGTATGACCGTTATTCTAATTGCAAATAGCCGTGATGCGTGCGCTATCAACATTTCAGTACGTTGACTGTTGTGTAGCAATGCGCATGCTTTCATTTACGATATGGCCAAGGGTTGACAGGCAAAGACATCATTGTCTGCTCGACAAGGGTAATCAAAATAGGTACAAAACTAGTTTTTCAATGCACACACTTTTATCTGCACTATCAAGTACAAGTTAAATATTTGTTATCCCAGAATTAATCACATTTTATGTGCTGAATAAAAGTGGGTGGCTTGCATAAAGAAAACTAAACATCGAAAGGACGCCACCAACTTTTATTCAGCACGTCAAATGTGATTAATTCAGGGGTCAAAATTATTTCGTTTGTATTTGAAATTGCAAATAAAAGTGTGTGCATTGAAAAACTTACTTTTACCATTAATTTTTCACCGATGGGTTTTCACCTGAAGCGTGATGGATGAACACAGTATTGATGAGATGAAACAGTCCTGTAGACCGAGTCATCAACGTAGTAGGAAGAATCAATGAGTGAAGCTCAGGGAAAACAATAACCATGGTAGTCGCGATATCAGAGTGATAAGGAAAGGACTGACCACCGGTGAGCGAGTGACGGGAATTAATCAGTGAGTGCTGGATAATTAATCACCCTGACAACTTTGCCTCTTATTCATGTCTCTACACTTCATACTCTCTAGTTCTTTTGGTAAAGTCACGTAGATAGAAAAAATAATAATAAAAGAACACGACGTTTCGGTCGCAACACAAGCGTCCGTCATCAGGTGAGAAACAATTATCTGCTGTCGTGGCTTACTATAGCCACGGGAGGGATTTGTAGAGTCGTGGATGCAGGAGTTCACGGGGGGAGAGCCACAGCAGATCATTCTTTCTCACCTGATGACGGACACTTGTGCTGCGACGTGACTTTACCGAAAGAAGAAGAGAGTATGGATTCCTGCAGTCACGAAAGCTTCAAATCAAGATCTCTCTACACTTCTTTGCGCACTTTTCAGCTTTGTTCCATTTCGTTGTCGTCGGTGTCCACATTTCTGATTCATATGCAAAAGCTGACAATGCGCATAAGATTTAAATCGTTTTTCAAGAACATCGCCGCTCGCTTTTCATGATGAAGATTATTGCGACATTTGTCCACCAATATGCGAGTGGGGTGCACGAGCCACTGCCTGGACGGGTTTGACATGCGAGTGGGTGAGCGAGAGAGTGCGTGAATGAGTTGAAGAATGTGTGACCGAAAGATTTGATAATTCAGGTCTAACGTGATTCACAAGGTAACACGCGTCTCCCACCCTCACTACCCCCACCACACTCACCTCCACATCGCCCACTGCCCAGTCTCACCCAGTTGTACCCCGCGCCCTCCAGTCTTCCTCCATAATCACTTCATTACTTACGACGGCCGAGGGAAACTGAATGAGACGATCTTTTGTAAGTAATGTAATTGAAGAATTTGGCTGGCGATGTTCTTCTAGCAATTATAATTATTGCACGAGACATAATGAACAGACAACTGTACAAGACAACAAACGGACAAGCAGACAGAGAGAGGCAGGCAGAGACAGAAGGATAGACGTAGATAGAGATCGACAGACAGGCAGACAGAGACAGAAAGAGAGACATACAGAGAGGCAGGCAGACAGATAACGTTTACGTTTACTTTGATTTGTTACACGGATGGGTTCAGTTTAGCCAGTTTCCCGGCTATTTTATACGGAAGATCGGCGGTACAGGGTCCTTCAGGAATATTGCACAACGAAGTATTTAACAGGAGATGAAACGCGAATTTTAAAAAGGGACAAGTGTAATATGAGAGCAAGAGGCGCCAGGCAAGAGTTAGATGCAGGTACAAGTAGGGAGGGAACCGATCTGTCGATGAGCGGCAAGGGGAATCCAAAATCGTGGAGCAGAAACGCAGAAAGATATTTTGTTACCAAACAAAGTTTTAGCAAATGGAATGTTTGGACGTAATGAGGAGGCACTTAAACGTCTACGGGAGGGAGTTAGAGGAACTAAGTGGTCCTTTAGATAATTGGCGGATTTATTTAAGAGGACCTTTCGAGTTGGGGTCTCTGTTGATATCCAAGGGGACAGATTCGAGTGAATGTTGCAATGAGGAGTTCTAGAGGGAACGTCAAGGGCAACACGGAGAGCACAGTGAGAGGCAGACAGGCAGAGAGACAAACGAAGAGGCAGCTATAGAGAAAGACAGACTACCAGAGACAGATTCACTTCACACGATACCTTCACTCCACTCCCACTCAAGTTATAGTTTTGGTGGAATAAATTAGACTTAAACATTTTGTAAATTGAAATAGACAGTTTAAGAATGTTGGTAATTTATTGGGGGTAAAAAAAATGATTGTGAAGAATCTGGGAGCGTTAAATTTAGAACAGTAGATTACTTGAAATACATGGTGACGTAATGCCCTCTTGTGGACAAATGCGCTACTACAGCTGTTGCACATTCAGAGGTGCCGGGAAAGGAAAGCAGTGTCTGCCATCTTGCTCGGGGAGGTACCCACGTTGAGCGTGTCATCTCACTGTGAGTGCGAGGGCTGTGATCGTTACGCTCACTATGCGGCGGCTGTGAGCGGGCCACTCACCGCTAAATAAACTGATCAACAAGGACGCCCGCTAAATGAACCGACCAACATGGACGCCCACTAAATGAACTGACCAACATGGACGCCCACTAAATGAACTGACCAACATGGACGCCTGCTAAATGAACTGACCAACATGGACGCCCACTAATTGAACTAACCAACATGGATTCCCGCTAAATGAACTAAACAACATGGACACCCATAGACAAACCCAAACATTAAATTATATATTGTATATAATTTAATGTTTGGGTTTGTCTATGGCAATATATAGTACGGTGTAGACTCGTTTGATGTAAGAGAATAAAGTTTAAATGGAAGCATATTATATTTTTTATGACGTAGAATTGTAATGTATTACTACTTGCTGTTAGTAACTCAGCTTATTGTAGAGTATATTTAGCATAATGATGATACTATGTAGTTTATACTTTAGTTGTTTACGTGGTGGTTTTAGTTACTGCAGCTACATACTATTAACACTTCTTCCCTTTATTAATGCTACCCCTATCCCCTCCCTGTGATGCTGCTAATCCTGCATCATGCACGGGCAAAGTAGCACTAATCACATATCTGCATTACCCATATCCCCTCCCTTGGATGCTGCTAATCCTGCATAATGTACGGACACAAGTAGTACTAATCACATACCTGCATTTCCCATGGGTATGCTGAAATCCTCTTGATATGCAAATTCTTTTGTCAAGGCGCCCCCTTCCCCCCCCCCCCTTCCAACCCAGCTTATATATATACTCCAAGCACGTGTGCTGTTTCATTCAGACGCTGTCGCCTCGACAGACCTGGTTTCACCTGAGGACGGCTGCTTGCGTTGTGGCCGAAACGTCGTGAGAATTATTTTATTATGTTTTATTTTTATTATTTTATTACTTCCCTTCTACGTGACTTTACCGAAAGAACCAAGAAGATGAATCCCTGCAGTCACGAAAGCTTTAAATCATAGAGACCCGTTGAGAGCTACAGACTCATATACCAAGAGACATCACAGCGATGATGATGTGACATCGTAGTCGTTGTCTCTGCACCTACATCAGCAGCCTCACTGAAAAAGAGAAGTCTGCTGCCAGTAGGGAGCATTGATTGCGGTTGTGTGGTCTAGCCGAGGGGCACCCCCAGTGGCAGCCGTCCCTGTGCATCAGTCTGCTGCCAGTAGGCAGGGGGGTGATGACTGCTGCCGCTGTGTGTGTGTGATCTCGCCTGCTGTACATTTGGAGTCGGCGTCTCTCTCCCCCCGTGGTCACCAAGATCTTTCTCCGGGTCCTCCGGGGTTTTCCCCTCCACATTTAGAATCAACATCGCGCGTTCATAGAGGAGTTGGCTGCTGATTTTTACAAATTAGCTACGTAGCTCAGTGGGCCTTACCTGGTAAAATAAACATAGTTTAAATAATTCAAAACATTACCCTGATGGTGGTGTTAATGATGCTGCTGGTGATGATGCTGCTGCTGATAATGCAGATGATGCTGATAATGATTGTGATGGTATTAGTGCTGACGCCGGTGATGCTCCTGGTGCTGCTGATGATGTTGGAGACGATGCCGCTGGTGGCTGTGAAGCAGCAGCAGCAATCATCTACCCAGAGAGCCCCAACGGACGCCACCGTTTACTCAACGCTCCTCCACACGTTACAAAAGATGCTTTCATTGTTTTATCGCGAAGTCGCAGCTAACACCGCCGCCACGACACGTGGACTCTCAACAGCGGTGGCTGACACAACAGTGATCAAAGCGGTAACCACGCGGCCCGGGCGTAGCGACGTCGCAGCGAAGTGAGCGCCGCCCTCATCTCCCTGCCTCTGGCCCTTCTTGGCCCCCCCGCGCCCCTGGCCCTGCTTGGCCCCCCGCCGCCTGAGTCAAGACTCAGACGTCGTCGTCATCTTCTTGCTAGACCGGCAGCATGAGCAGTAGAGAATCGACCACGGTTCGGTTCAGGCTTGGCTCAGCAAACGATCCCCGTTGGTTTGGAAAAAAGAAAACACCCGTACTGTGACAGTAAATAGGCCTGGTGCGCTGGCTCGGCTCAGGTGTCGCCAGTGGAAAAACACCACCCCTACCGTGCCAGAGTAGCCCCCATGAGTTGACTCGGTTCGCAACATCAACAATAACACCATCAACATCCACAAAAACATCAACATCAACCCCATCCCCACCAGCACCACCATCACCAGCACCATCACCACCAGCACCACCGCCATCACCACCATCACCACTATCACCATCACCGCCATTATTACCATTACCACCACCGCCACCATCATCGCCACCGCCATCACCACCATCACCACCACCGCCATCACCACCATCAGCACCACAATCACCACCATCACCATCAGCACCACCGTCATCACCTACGAGCTACATCACGGACATTGAAAGTTGTCGATTATGTTGATGTTATTGATAATGTTGTTGATGATAATGATGTTGCTGATATTTATAACGGTATTGATGATGTTGTTTGACGTTGTTATTGATAATGATGTTATTGATAATGTTGCTGACAATGTTGTTGATGATGTTTTGATAATGCCGTTGATGTTGTTTCATGTTATTCACGTTGTTCATGCTGTTGATGGTGATGTTATTCACGATGTATGTTATTGAAGTTTATGAAGTTATTGGTAATGTTGATGCTGTCAATAATGTTGCTGATGATGATGTTGATGTGTGGACTCACGGTGGGGACTGGATGAAGGTGGCCATGCTGAACCGTGGCAATCGCGCGCTGAACTGTGCGGCAATGTAGCCCTCAATGAGCTCCATCTGCACGCAACATCAACAATAACATCGCTACTATCACGACCACCCAAAAAAAGCAACCACGACCACCACCATCGCCACCAGCAACCACGACCACCACCACCATCACCACCAACAACCACGACCACCATCACCACCAACAAACACGACCACCATCACCACCACCATCACCACCAACAACCACGACCACCATCACCACCAACAACCACGACTACCATCGCCACCACCACCATCAACACCAACAACGACCACCGTCACCACCACCACCAATCACCAACAACAACAACCACGACAACCACGACTACCATCACCATCAATCACCAACAATAACTACGACCACCACGACCACCAAAACCAATACTCGCCATTCGCCACTAAGTGACGGTGATGTCATCATGCCACCTGTGCCGGGCCAGGTGCACTTTGAGGCTACCACGTGAAGTGTCGAAGACTCACTGCTGCCAGGAGGTCTCGGGACAGAACCAGCAGGTGCCATGGGTTGGCTGACTGAGATCACCGGTAGATGCACCACCAGCTGTACCCCCTACTGTGCCAGGCTGATAGGACTAGGGGTTAGAGTTAGGGTTTGGGGTTAGGGTTAGGGAAAAGGACACTCGCTAAATAACCTAACCATCATGGGCACTCGCTTGATAACCTAACAAACATGGACACTCGCTAAATAACCTAACAAACAAAGACACTCGCTAAATAACCTAACCATCATGGACACTCGCTAAATAACCTAACCAACATGAACTCGCTAAATAACCGAACCAACATGGACACTCACTAAATAACCTAACCAACATGGACACTCGCTAAATGACCTAACCATCATGGACACTCGCTAAATAACCTAACCATAATGGACACTCGCTAAATAACCTAACCAACATGGACACTCGCTAAATGACCTAACCAACATGGACACTCGCTAAATGACCTAACCAACATGGACACTCGCTAAATGACCTAACCATCATGGACACTCGCTAAATAACCTAACCATAATGGACACTCGCTAAATTCCCTAACCATCATGAACACTCGCTAAATAACCTAACCATCATGGACACTCGCTAAATTCCCTAACCATCATGAGCACTCGCTTAATTCCCAAACCATCATGAACACTCGCTAAATAACCTAACCATCATGGACACTCGCTAAATAACCGAACCAACATGGACACTCGCTAAAAAACCTAACCATCATGGACACTCGCTAAATAACCTAACCAACATGGACACTCGCTAAATAACCTAACCATCATGGACACTCGCTAAATAACCTAACCATCATGGACACTCGCTAAATAACCTAACCATCATGGACACTCGCTAAATAACCTAACCATCATGGACACTAACCTTACCCTACATCGCTGGGGTCACAAAAAAGATCTCCAAAATCCTGATTAAACACAAGATCCAGGTCCGATTCAACACAGTACATAAAATCCGTGATCTGGTCCCGTCTGTAAAAGATGTGGTTCCAGACATACAGTACCCTGGCGTCTACAAACTAAGTTGCCTCTGTGGTAGCAGTTACATTGGAGAAACCAAACGACATGTCTCGGACCGCATCCGTGAACATAAGGCAGACCTGAAACACGGTAGGACAAACACCTCAGCCGTGGCAGATCACTGTTACAATTCAGTGGGCTCACATGACATTGACTTCTCCAAGACAGAGGTTCTCTGCAAGCCATCTGGCTATCATGAGAGATTCGTTCATGAGGCGATCCACATATACAAACACAGAGACAATTTCAACCGAGAAGATGGATTCTGGCTTAGCAATCATTGGAAGGACGTAATAAACCATTTCGGATCTTAACTGATTGTGTTCACGTTTACGGTGACTTTCAGACCGAGTTCCACTCACTGGCATGGTGCAGTGTGCAGAGTAATGTATGGTGTCGTAATTGTACAGTAAACATATAGCAGTATGATACACATTAGGGTGGGTAGAATAATACATAGTGTTATATTAAAATGGATAAGGCAGCAACTGCAGCAGCAGCAGCAAGTGCAGCAGCAGCAGCAATTGCAGCAGCAGCAACTGCAGCAGCAGCAGCAACTGCAGCAGCAGCAGAAACTGCAGCAGCAGCAGCAACTGCTGCAGCAGCAGTAACTGCAGCTCCCTTTGATGCTGTTAATCCTGCATAATGCACATGCATATGCAGTACTAATCACATTCCTGCATTTCCCATAAATATGCTAAATTCCTTTTGATATGCAAATTCCTTTGTCAATGCGCCCAGCTTATATATATGCTCCAAGCTCGTGTGCTGTTTCATTCAGACTCTGTCGCCTCGACGGACCTGGTTTTCACCTGAGGACGGCTGCTTGCGTTGTGGCCGAAACGTCGTGAGAATTGTTTTATTATGTTTTATTTTTATTATTTTATTACTTCCCTTCTACGTGACTTTACCGAAAGAACCAAGAAGATGAATCCCTGCAGTCACGAAAGCTTTAAATCGAAAAGTAAGGACTTGTCCCTTGCTTTTTATTCGACGCGTGTGATCGACATCGCGCTCGCTGAACGTGTTGATGCCTTCAGGGAAGTCATGTACTGTACACGCAACTGCGCTCAATTCTGTGAGTCGCTTGTAACTGCTTTGCCGTTACTTATTGCCAATTATGGAATCGGGACTGTTGTCCTCTCATAGAGTCCCTGGCACGTAATAATATGCCACACGGTGGCAGTGAGGGTTGCAAAATGCCCATTTATCTTATATATATTAAAAGAAAATGTGTGGATACGTGTGTCTGTTCTAAATGTTTAGCATACTTCCCAACATGCTACACACTTGAAATTTGGCACGTAGATAGGATCCATACTGTACACAATGTACAAAGTATAAAAATAGACTTTTGTATTTTTTTTGGGGGGGGGGGGGGTGGAAATGACCATGAAGTATGTGGTGTCAACCCGCATCACAACCGAGTTAAGCGGTCTGCAATGCTTACCCCTACCATATGGCTCTTCGCGTGCCGTACTTCTACAGCTGTTCATAGTGTGCCGGGAGATTTTAGGTGGCGCTTCCCTCCAGGCCGATGAAGCCATGGGCTTCTCGGAGTTTCAATACATATCCGTGCGAAGAACGGGTACAACTGCTATCTTAAATATAAAGCAGAAATTACATGTTTGTTTGTGTGAAGCAGCAAAAACTCTCCAATGCTGAGCTCTGGCGTCATGAAATTTTCACAGCTTATGCCGTCTGGAATTTCTAAGCGAACACGACTATTTTCAGCTCGCCACGTCATTCCCTTCCTGAGTTGCCAAAATCGACCTTCCGTAGAAGTGGATTAAGGTTGAATATCCTTGAGTGAAAACATCCGATTTAGGTAAATTGATGTGTTTCGGCTTTTTTCTTTCTTGCAAGCTTCAATTTTTTTCAGGGATTTTCAGTGAAAGATAAGGGAATATGAAATTAGAAATTTATCCAAGACAAGAATCCAAGTCCCGGGCGAAGCCGGGTAGTGAAGCTAGTTACTAATGAACCCCAATGATCCGATCTAAATTATGGATTTCGATCAGATCGTTGGGGGGACACGTGCCACCCTACCCCCACTGGCTCCACCACTATCACACACTGGCATGGTTCACAGGTGGTGGTGTGTCCAGACCCACGCCTGGCCACCTTCACCTGCTCAGTATTAATGCTTCCTCACTCCACCAAGTAATTCATTGAGGATCCTTCCCGATCCCCGGGTTTCCCCTCCACATGTAGAGAGTGAACACCACCACGCGTCTCGAGTGAACACCGCCACGTGTCTCGAGTGAACACCGCCACGCGTCTAGAGTGAACACCACGCATCTAGAGTGAACACCGCCACGCTGTTGACAAGCCTCACCTTGTTGTTGTTGTTGTGGGCAGGTCTCTTCTGAAAACAAGAGTGGTACAGCAGCTCAAGCGGGCGTGGCCTGGTAAAAAATGAAAAAAAAAAGAATATTTAAAATAAAAACAAAGTTACAAAGTAGCGAGTCAGGTGAAGAGAAATGAAAACTTAAGCAAGATACTCTTTGGTTCTTTCGGGAAAGTCACGTACAATAAATAAATACATTAAATAATAGCATGCGAAATTTCGATTGCAACACAAGCAATTATCATCAGGTACAAATGAAAGAGAAAACAAACCTAGTAAACTTAGAAATGTAATGCAATGCAACACAGAGTCAGCTAACATAACAGTCAACACCACACCTGGTTGATCACGTTCTTCCAAAGATTGCTCAATTTGAGAGAGAGACAAAACACAGACACGGAGACAGACAGGGAGAGATAACACAGAGACACAGAGAGAGACACAGAGAGAGACACAGAGACAAATAGAGAGAGACACACACACATAGAGAGAGAGATGACACAGACACACAGAGAGAGACACACACATAGACACACAGAAATATGACACAGAGACAAATAGAGAGAGACACACACATAGGCACACAGAGAAACAACACCTCTGTGTTGAGGCCTTAAATAGGAAGGGGCAGAAAGAGGGGGGGGGGTAGAGATAGGGGGGGGGGGGGTAGAGAAATTAGCATGTCAATGCAAGGCCGTAGCCATGGAGTCAACATTCGGGGGGACCAAATCTTCCAAGGGGTCTGGGGTCCACCCCCAGAAAAATATCTAAATTTTAAAACTAATTTCCTGCCTAAAATATTTTTTAAAAAGTTCACTAACACATGTGATGGACTTTGTCTTTATTTTTTACAATAATGTCTAATAGTGTATTGTATGACATTGCTCTGTTTTTTTTCTTTTGTTTGTTTCATAGTATGTAATGGCAGAGATTAGGGATTCATAAAGTACAACCATAACCACAATCATATAAACAGAAATCTATGCATTGTTACATGAAGGCAAGTCCAGATTTTGTGGCCAAGGTTTAGCAAATTGTTGTTTTTATTAACATAGCATCGCAATTATTATTTTTAAAAAGTATTTTTATAGCAATATATTGGGGGGGACATTATTAACATATTTTATTATTATAATTATTATAACATGTTATAATTATTATAACATAATTATTATAACATATTATAATTAGGGCCTTGTGTCAATGAGTGACTTTGAGCTTTCGTGACTGCAGTAAATAACAGCGCGACAACACGAGGACACAGAGAGAGAGACACGTAATCAAACAAACTTAGTAAAATTTAGAAATGCAATGCAACACAGAGAGTCGGTCAACACACAATTACCGCATAGCCTAGCTGATTACGTTCTTCCAAAGATTGCTAAACTAAGCGAGAGAACTGAAGCAAACGCCATCAGGCGAGGGCAGGAGGCAAGGCCCCGCGTTGTAAAGTTCCACCCTGAACATCGCTTCCATTCTCGCTGCTACTCAACTGACATCCCTACGAGAGAGAGCGAGGCTCTACCTCGGTAAACAACAACAACCACCACCACCACCACAACAACCACCACCACAACAACCACCACCACAACCACCACAACCACAACAAGCACCACCACAACAACCACCACAACCACCACAACAACCACCACGAGAATTTCTCACCTCGGATTGCAGTTCACGCGCGGAGCGGCAACTTCCTGCTACCTCGTGACGTCACTCGCTGGGTGCAAGACACTCCTCTCCAGCTGATCTGCAACTTAAATAAATTATGTTAATGAGCCCCGCCCATACGTGGAGGGATGGGGCGCGCGTGCTGAACCCATCGCAATGAACTCGCGACGGCTTTCACGAATAAATTATGTTAATGACTCACTAGGTTTGGCTTTGCCCAAATAAGGATGGGCACTGGAAGATATCGGCAGCGGCCGAGCAGAAGTGTCGTCAGGGGTGGGGCGAATACCTTGGTGACATGACGTCACTAGCGAAGTACACCTTGTTGTGTCTATACCTCTTTTTTATTAAGAACAATTAAAAAAAAATTTATATATATATTTTTATTATATCTATATATATATATTTAAATAATGGAAACAACCCACTTCTCCTCACAAGCACACCAGGAATCTATGACGATAAGAATTCGGTCACAGAGAGGTCATAGACATCCAGATGGACAAAAAGATGGATGGACTAACCTCCCAAGACATCTGGAGATGTACAGATAGGGTGCAGAGCATAGATACAACAATTTTTGCAACTAGCGTTTTCCTTAAACGTTTTCCGTACCGAAAAGTAGAAACTTAACAAAAAGAATTAACCAACAAACAATAGGGGCCTTTTATTAGTAATTCCATTATACTACTCGTATTCACCACATACATATTATTTAGAATTATGTTTTTTTTTTACATGACCCTCCTAAAAACTATAGAGTACGAATTCCAGAAAGCTTAAGTGGAAACTTAGTTACACTTAACCTCAGGACATTCAAATATAACTCAGAATAAACACCAATCTCTGGAGAACTAAACTTGGCAAAGCCCTCAAAATAATGATGTGACGAGGATAATTACGAATATTCATTAAACATAGACGAATGATAACCACGATACTAAGACCTAAGGAACTCATAAAATATAACTCAAGAATAAATGTAACACACAGGACCACATAAATATATTGCAAAAATTTCCTCGGCCACCTTTGTCTTCCAGCGGGGTCTGGCAAGCAGGGAGGGAGCAGGGAGGTCACAGGGGGGAGTCGGTGCCTGACATTCCAGGGATGTCTGTTTTTTCTGTTTGTTTTCTCTCGCAAAGAATGCGCAGAGAGGGGAGTCACGTTTTGAGTTAAGCACAAGCGCACATAGCGAACAGGCAGTCTGTCCGAGTCGCGCTCAGCGTTGCGACGGGGCTCGCAAGGGAGCTGTGGCAGTCGTGCCTCGAGAAGAGATGGGACGACGAGACATCGTTAAAGTGGCAGCCTGAGAGCAGTCTGTCCGAGTCGCGCTCAGTCTTGCAACTCGGCTTGCGACGCGGCGTTGCGACGGGGCTCGCAAGGGAGCTGTGGCAGTCGTGCCTCGAGGAGAGATGGAACGAGGAGGGGTCGTTCGAGTCGCAGAAGTCTGAGTTCAACCTGGGTCGGGGCTGGGTTTCAGCCGTGCTCCTGCTGGCGGAGCGTCGTGAGGAAACGAAACACCGATGCCGATAGCAGGTGTCGCTTCTCGCAGAACGAAGTTAAGTGCGAGTGAAGCTGGCAGCTGCACGAACAAGGGAAGCACGGAGAAGAGAGAGTGACGAGTGACGACAAGCAATCAACCTGTAAAAGGGCGGAAATCACCAAGCGTCAACCAAGCGAGCAAAGCAGAGAGCGCGAAGCAGTGGAGAAAGCCTGGTCAAACGGCCGTGAGGAAGAGGACAGCGCCATCGAATGCGCAGTGTGTTTGAGGCGCACACCGACCAACGACCCAGTGAGAACAGACGTCGTCCAGAGCCACAAGCCAACACAGCCTGAAGCAAGGGCGAGTGTCCGTGTGAAGTTGGCAACGATCAAGGAGAGAGCCACAGCAGCAGCACGACCCGGGCGTCACTGAGCGTCGTGCCAACTCGTCATCTAGCAGTAGAGGGAGAGAGAGCGCAAGAGCAGCACGACTCGGACGTCACCGAGCGTCGTGCCGACTCGTGGAGGAGCTGCGCGCTATCCGGCGACGGAATCATCGCGCACCACGTCGGCGAGCGTCGTGCAAACTCAATCGAGCAATGGAGAGAGAGAGCGCACAAGCAGAGACACGCCCGAGCGAGGGAGCAGCACGACTCGCTGCGGCCACGCCCAACCCAGAGAAAACCTCTGGCCGCTGTTTGTATCCTCCCACACCACACAAGCTAACGACAACTCCCGGCTCTAAGAATTAATTAATTTTACAAGGGGACAACGCACACACAGCACGCACACGAATAAGACTTAAAAAAATTTATCTTTGCGTTTCAAAAAGGGTTGCCATTTCGAGGTGGTGCGTTCACTACCAACTGATCGTGCAAAGCAGTTGCTGCCGTCGAGTTACATGAATAAGAAATGTTTTAGTCATTCATTTTCGTTAATTGCATAATCTTGCCCATGAATTTATTGACGTATACTTGCTTTTGCATACTAGAGTGTCATGTGTTTGTTTAGAATTAAAATTGCTTAACACCAAGTCTCGAGTGCTTCTTTCCAAGTCCATGCAAAACTGTCTTATTCATAAGAGCTGTTACCTGCGATGAGATATGAAAATGGAGACCTAATATAACATAACACACACTAAGATAATCGATAAATGTTTAATCGATGATAATCGTGTTATCCTGATTGATATAACTCTGGATAAACGAAACTAAGCCTAATTATCATAACTGCTCACATTAACATAATCGCAAGCATCCGCATAAATCACTACGATTGTCTCCGCGATTATCATAATTTATGCATATAATTGCACACATTATCATAATTTATGCACGTCAATACACAAATTATCATAATTTATGCATAACATAACACACACTATCATCATTTATGCGCTTTGCGAATTTTTCGGAAAATTATTAATTTTTATTTTTTTTTATCAAAATTTCATAATCCAACACATACAACAACCTCCCCCTGGCGTTTGACGCCGATGAGGTCACGCTGAGCGGTGACGTCAGAGAGCGGGGTCAGAGTTCAAGTTTGTTGACAGAAGGGGAGCGGCAGTGTCGTGGTGAGCGCTGCGCTCCGCACCCGACCAGCCGAGTTCCATTCCCGCTCGTGGCCAACACCGCCAGTGACGACTTTCTGAGCCGGTCCTGAGCCTCCCCTACGTCGACTCAGCCTCAAACGAGTACCCGGTGCGGTGTGTCAACATTGCCACTGGGGAGACAAAGGCGAACGGGCGTGGTGCTGGCCACCCAACCCCTCGTGTGCCGTGACGACCTCCATCGGTTCTGCTCGCTGTGAGCAGCACTTTGTAGATGTCGTGGCTTGGCTCTCCAGCCCACCGCTGGCGACATTTCACAATAAAATTGTCACATCCATAAAAAATCAGCATACTAACCTATGACGTTTTTGGCAAAATTGTCCCAATTTTTCTAGTTTTATTTTTAATCAAAAAGTGCATTCCTTGGTTGTGTTTAGCCTGAGTAGCCTATATATTACGTAAAAAAGTGGGGAATTTGATCCATTAAATTTTCGAATATTAAAAAGTTAATAGGCATACTGTGCCGATTTTAGCCCAAATAAGCCCAACATTCACAGCTTTATTTTTGGATAATAGTTCATTCCTCTATTGTATTTAGCCTTAGTATGCCATGTATTAGAATAAAAGTGGAAAATTTCACGATGAAATGTTCACGTCCCGTTTTTGGGCAATGTTGGCCAAATTTTTCCAGCTTTATTTTTCAACAAAAGTGCAATCCTCGTGTGTGTTTAGCCTTAGTATCTTTTATATAACATTAAAAAGTACGAAATTTCACCATGAAATTTTGAAATGAAAAAGAAAATCGGCATACTATGCCGTTTTTGGCCAAAATTGGCCAAACTTTCATAGCTTTGTTTTTTGACAAAAGTTAATTCCTCCATTGTATTTAGCCTTAGTATGCTATGTATTAGATTAAAAGTAGAAAATTGCACGATGAAATGTTCACGTCCCAAACAGAAAATCGGCACACTCACGTCTGCCATTTTTGGCCAAAATTGGCCAAATTTTCATAGCTAAACTTTTCCAAGAAAAAGTTAATTCCTCTTTTTTGATTAGCATTAGTATGCTGTATTATTACTATAAAGGTTTGATATTTCATGATGACATTTTCACGTCCTAAAAATTAAATTGGCATGACATTTTTGGGCTAAAAAACAAATAGGCATACTAACCTATGCAGTTTTTGGACACAATTGGGTTAGGCTTAGCAGTTAGGGTTCAGGGTTAGGGGTTAGGGGTAGGGTTAGGGATAAGGTTAGGGCTAGATTATTCCAACTCACTACTCTCCGGGACATCTGGCAAAAACATTACCAAGCTGAAGCGTGTACAAAATTATTTGTCAGGCGTCATGACGGGTACTGCAAAATCCGACCATGTCTGTCCAGTGCTCACCGAGCTGCATTGGCTTCCTGTTGCCGAACTCATACAATATAAGGTTGCACTCATTACATACAAAGCTCTTGCTACAATTGAACCACAATACCTTTCTGGTATCATCAAAGAGCATAACGATCATGCAAACTCTGGTCATCCTCACAGCAGCTTTTGGCTAATCATCGAATAAAAACGGTCGCTGCATTTCAAGCTTTCAGATGCACTTCTGCAGCAGTCTGGAATGTCCTTCCTTCCAATATTAGGAAGTCACTGGAGCTATGCATTTGTAAAATATAGATTGAAAATATCTTTTCTTGAGAACTGATTTTGTGCTTAGTTTGTTGTCCTTCCCCCGCACCTCCGATGATCATGTTTGGCTATGTACGGTGTGAAAGAAGATCAACATACACATCAACATGGACACTCGCTAAATAACCTAACCATCATGGACACTCGCTAAATAACCAAACCAACATGGGCACTCGCTAAATAACCTAACCAACATGGACACTCGCTAAATAACCAAACCAACATGGACACTCGCTAAATAACCTAATCATCATGGGCACTCGCTAAATAACCTAACCATCATGGACACTCGCTAAATAACCAAACCAACATGGACACTCGCTAAATAACCTAATCATCATGGGCACTCGCTAAATAACCTAACCATCATGGACACTCGCTAAATAACCAAACCATCATGGACACTCGCTAAATAACCTAACCATCATGGACACTCGCTAAATAACCTAACCATCATGGACACTCGCTAAATAACCTAACCATCATGGACACTCGCTAAATAACTTAACCATCATGAACACTCGCTAAATAACCTAACCACCATGGACACTCGCTAAATAACCTAACCACCATGGACACTCGCTAAATAACCTAACCATCATGGACACTCGCTAAATAACCTAACCAACATGGACACTCGCTAAATAACCTAACCAACATGGACACTCGCTAAATAACCTAACCATCATGGACACTCGCTAAATAACCTAACCAACATGGACACTCGCTAAATAACCTAACCAACATGGACACTCGCTAAATAACCTAACCAACATGGACACTCGCTAAATAACCTAATCAACATGGACACTCGCTAAATAACCTAACCATCATGGAAACTCGCTAAATAACCTAACCAATATGGACACTCGCTAAATAACCTAACAATAATTACATTTTGTTAAGTTTTATATCTAAGCTACCTTTTCTTCTCTCTCTCACCTAAGCCCTCTTTGAATTTCACCCCCACCTTCTCGCCCGTTACGGCCTCCCCTCCCTCCCCCTTTCAGATCTATACAATGCCTTGTCACAACGGCTTCTCTCTATCTCGCCTGAAGACGGTTGCTTGTTATTGCGATCGAAACGTCGTGATCTATTTTTTTTTATCTACGTGACTTTACCAAAAGAACCAAAGAGTATGAATTCCTGCAGTCACGAAAGCTTTAAATCAATATCTCATTCAAGTGTCATGTAAGATCAATCAAATGTCTCTGCCACATACAAAGGAGTTTCCTCTAACTTTTGTTTCAATATTTAATGAAATCCAATATTGTGCTCTACAATGCCCCCTCAATCAGTTCTTCAATCCTACTCTACGTGGAAGTCCTTTGTGATACAGTAGCAAATGAGAACATTGTAAATTCTAGATGTTAAGCTTTCGTGACTGCAAGGATTCATACTCTTAGTTTTTTCGGTACAGTCACGTAGGTAAAAAATTAAATTAAAATTAATAAAATAAAATAATAAAAATCACGACGTTTCGGAGGCAACATTGTAAATGTGTTGAGAGGCTCTTGACGACTCGGAGACAGTTCCAAGGTAAGTTAACTATAAGGGTGCAACACTTTCCCAGGGGTAGGGGTCCTAGGCTTGGTCCTCCACTCGGACCTTCCACCCTAAATTTCGATTTAAAGCTTTCGTGACTGCAGGGATTCATCTTCTTGCTTCTTTCGGTAAAGTCATCACGTAGAAGGGAAATAATAAAACATAATAAAATAATATTTTAAAATAATATTTAATAATAATAACAATATTTTATAATATAATATTTTATTATGTTTTTTAAAGTAATATTTTAGTATGTTTTATTTTTATAATTTTATTATTTCCCTTCTACGTGACTTTACCGAAAGAACCAAGAAGACCTTCCCCACGGTCTGTTCCCCAGCACAGCTGGCTGCCCGGGCTGCCTCCTCTGCGCCGGCCGAGGGCTACTCCAACTTGGGCCGAGCGAGGAGCGCAGCCACTCCTAGCTCCTCTCTCTCCAGACCCTGACCCCTTGTCCCCTGACCCCTGCTCCTAACTCCCATCCTGCTCGTTCCCGACTCTCCGCAACGACCCGCCTACGTCACGGGCTCTCCCTTAAGTAACCCTCCGAGACATGACGTAATCCCGCTGGCCGGCGTGCATGACGCCACCTGTGACGTCACCGTCCCTGCCAGCGAGCGTGATGTCGTCATGTCCCCAACTAGTCCTCTACAAATGTATGCTATTGTCTGCGATCAAAATGAAGGTAACTTTATAAACGGGGTAAAATTAGTTCCGCATAATATCAAAATGGTTTAACGCAAAATATAGTAATGACACTTTTCTTTGAACTACAGAATTAGAACATTTCAGGATAATCATATAGAGTTTACTGGGGGTAGTAGTGATACACTGGTTCAGCACTGCATGTAAACCCGGAAACCTGAGTTCGATTTCTATTCATGGAAAACTCTAGTGGTGTAATGACTGATCCAATCCTTCACCCCCAATCATGCCCACCTCCTCCCCCACTTCAGCAGACCATACTGTGGTGAAGTATGGTGGTCTTACAACTCCCATGACAAACATGGCATGGGGAAGTCTTCACGGACTTCATCCAGCAGTGGAATGATTCATCATCGTCATCAGCCATAATCAATCCACTGCTGGATGAAGGCCGTTTCAAGCCTCTGCCACCTCTCACGATCCTGCTATCCAACCATCCACCCTGCACTTGTACATGTGTAATAATAGAGTGACACCTGCTGGTCATGACAGAGTGACATCTGCTGGCCGAAGGGGTAATCATGGTTATCAGTTGCATGACGCAAGTAATGCTATGAAGGGGGCGTATCTGGGGTAAGGGTCAAGGGCAGAGTCAGTCCACAAGCTCCCGGAACCATCTCGAAGGGTCTAGATTCTAAGGTATAGGGTGGTGTATAGTAATGCAGTATATAATTTAATGTTGGGTTTGTCTATGGCAGTATATAGTACGGGCTAGATCCGTGTGAAGGAAAAAAGTTTAGCTGGAGGCATATTATATTTTTTGCGACATAGAATTGTAATGTATGACTTACTGTTAGTAGCTCAGCTTATTGGAGAGTATATTTAGTATATTGATGATATTGATGTAGTTTATATTTTAGTTTTTTTACGTGGTGGTTTGGCTGCTGCAGCTTCTTACTATTAAAATTCCTTCCCTTTATTACTGCTAACCCTACTCCCTCCCTTTGATGCTGCTAATCCTACATAATGCACGGGCATAATATGACTTTGAGACCCCCCCCACCTCCTACGCATTCCACAAGTAGTGACTAATCCCATATCTGCTTTTACCATAAATATGTTAAATTCCTCTGTTGATATGCAAATCCCTTTGTCAAGGCGCCCTTCCTCCTATAAATATACGCTGCCAAGCCTGGTGGTGTTCATCCATTTATTTTATTATTTCCCTTCTACGTGACTTTACCGAAAGAACCGAGAAGATGAATCCCTGCAGTCACGAAAGCTTTAAATCGAAAAGTAAGGACTTGTCCCTTGCTTTTTATTCGACGCGTGTGATCGACATCGCGCTCGCTGAACGTGTTGATGCCTTCAGGGAAGTCATGTACTGTACACGCAACTGCACTCAATTCTGTGAGTCGCTTGTAACTGCTTTGCCGTTACTTATTGCCAATTATGGAATCGGACTGTTGTCCTCTCATAGAGTCCCTGGCACGTAATAATATGCCACACGGTGGCAGTGAGGGTTGCAAAATGCCCATTTATCTTATATATATTAAAAGAAAATGTGTGGATACGTGTGTCTGTTCTAAATGTTTAGCATACTTCCCAACATGCTACACACTTGAAATTTGGCACGTAGATAGGATCCATACTGTACACAATGTACAAAGTATAAAAATAGACTTTTGTATTTTTTTGGGGGGGGGGGGTGGAAATGACCATGAAGTATGTGGTGTCAACCCGCATCACAACCGAGTTAAGCGGTCTGCAATGCTTACCCCTACCATATGGCTCTTCGCGTGCCGTACTTCTACAGCTGTTCATAGTGTGCCGGGAGATTTTAGGTGGCGCTTCCCTCCAGGCCGATGAAGCCATGGGCTTCTCGGAGTTTCAATACATATCCGTGCGAAGAACGGGTACAACTGCTATCTTAAATATAAAGCAGAAATTACATGTTTGTTTGTGTGAAGCAGCAAAAACTCTCCAATGCTGAGCTCTGGCGTCATGAAATTTTCACAGCTTATGCCGTCTGGAATTTCTAAGCGAACACGACTATTTTCAGCTCGCCACGTCATTCCCTTCCTGAGTTGCCAAAATCGACCTTCCGTAGAAGTGGATTAAGGTTGAATATCCTTGAGTGAAAACATCCGATTTAGGTAAATTGATGTGTTTCGGCTTTTTTCTTTCTTGCAAGCTTCAATTTTTTTCAGGGATTTTCAGTGAAAGATAAGGGAATATGAAATTAGAAATTTATCCAAGACAAGAATCCAAGTCCCGGGCGAAGCCGGGTAGTGAAGCTAGTTACTAATGAACCCCAATGATCCGATCTAAATTATGGATTTCGATCAGATCGTTGGGGGGACACGTGCCACCCTACCCCCACTGGCTCCACCACTATCACACACTGGCATGGTTCACAGGTGGTGGTGTGTCCAGACCCACGCCTGGCCACCTTCACCTGCTCAGTATTAATGCTTCCTCACTCCACCAAGTAATTCATTGAGGATCCTTCCCGATCCCCGGGTTTCCCCTCCACATGTAGAGAGTGAACACCACCACGCGTCTCGAGTGAACACCGCCACGTGTCTCGAGTGAACACCGCCACGCGTCTAGAGTGAACACCACGCATCTAGAGTGAACACCGCCACGCTGTTGACAAGCCTCACCTTGTTGTTGTTGTTGTGGGCAGGTCGCTTCTGAAAACAAGAGTGGTACAGCAGCTCAAGCGGGCGTGGCCTGGTAAAAAATGAAAAAAAAAAGAATATTTAAAATAAAAACAAAGTTACAAAGTAGCGAGTCAGGTGAAGAGAAATGAAAACTTAAGCAAGATACTCTTTGGTTCTTTCGGGAAAGTCACGTACAATAAATAAATACATTAAATAATAGCATGCGAAATTTCGATTGCAACACAAGCAATTATCATCAGGTACAAATGAAAGAGAAAACAAACCTAGTAAACTTAGAAATGTAATGCAATGCAACACAGAGTCAGCTAACATAACAGTCAACACCACACCTGGTTGATCACGTTCTTCCAAAGATTGCTCAATTTGAGAGAGAGACAAAACACAGACACGGAGACAGACAGGGAGAGATAACACAGAGACACAGAGAGAGACACAGAGACAAATAGAGAGAGACACACACACATAGAGAGAGAGATGACACAGACACACAGAGAGAGACACACACATAGACACACAGAAATATGACACAGAGACAAATAGAGAGAGACACACACATAGGCACACAGAGAAACAACACCTCTGTGTTGAGGCCTTAAATAGGAAGGGGCAGAAAGAGGGGGGGGGGGGTAGAGATAGGGGGGGGGGGGTAGAGAAATTAGCATGTCAATGCAAGGCCGTAGCCATGGAGTCAACATTCGGGGGGACCAAATCTTCCAAGGGGTCTGGGGTCCACCCCCAGAAAAATATCTAAATTTTAAAACTAATTTCCTGCCTAAAATATTTTTTAAAAAGTTCACTAACACATGTGATGGACTTTGTCTTTATTTTTTACAATAATGTCTAATAGTGTATTGTATGACATTGCTCTGTTTTTTTTTCTTTTGTTTGTTTCATAGTATGTAATGGCAGAGATTAGGGATTCATAAAGTACAACCATAACCACAATCATATAAACAGAAATCTATGCATTGTTACATGAAGGCAAGTCCAGATTTTGTGGCCAAGGTTTAGCAAATTGTTGTTTTTATTAACATAGCATCGCAATTATTATTTTTAAAAAGTATTTTTATAGCAATATATTGGGGGGGACATTATTAACATATTTTATTATTATAATTATTATAACATGTTATAATTATTATAACATAATTATTATAACATATTATAATTAGGGCCTTGTGTCAATGAGTGACTTTGAGCTTTCGTGACTGCAGTAAATAACAGCGCGACAACACGAGGACACAGAGAGAGAGACACGTAATCAAACAAACTTAGTAAAATTTAGAAATGCAATGCAACACAGAGAGTCGGTCAACACACAATTACCGCATAGCCTAGCTGATTACGTTCTTCCAAAGATTGCTAAACTAAGCGAGAGAACTGAAGCAAACGCCATCAGGCGAGGGCAGGAGGCAAGGCCCCGCGTTGTAAAGTTCCACCCTGAACATCGCTTCCATTCTCGCTGCTACTCAACTGACATCCCTACGAGAGAGAGCGAGGCTCTACCTCGGTAAACAACAACAACCACCACCACCACCACAACAACCACCACCACAACAACCACCACCACAACCACCACAACCACAACAAGCACCACAACCACCACAACAACCACCACGAGAATTTCTCACCTCGGATTGCAGTTCACGCGCGGAGCGGCAACTTCCTGCTACCTCGTGACGTCACTCGCTGGGTGCAAGACACTCCTCTCCAGCTGATCTGCAACTTAAATAAATTATGTTAATGAGCCCCGCCCATACGTGGAGGGATGGGGCGCGCGTGCTGAACCCATCGCAATGAACTCGCGACGGCTTTCACGAATAAATTATGTTAATGACTCACTAGGTTTGGCTTTGCCCAAATAAGGATGGGCACTGGAAGATATCGGCAGCGGCCGAGCAGAAGTGTCGTCAGGGGTGGGGCGAATACCTTGGTGACATGACGTCACTAGCGAAGTACACCTTGTTGTGTCTATACCTCTTTTTTTATTAAGAACAATTAAAAAAAAATTATATATATATTTTTATTATATCTATATATATATTTTTAAATAATGGAAACAACCCACTTCTCCTCACAAGCACACCAGGAATCTATGACGATAAGAATTCGGTCACAGAGAGGTCATAGACATCCAGATGGACAAAAAGATGGATGGACTAACCTCCCAAGACATCTGGAGATGTACAGATAGGGTGCAGAGCATAGATACAACAATTTTTGCAACTAGCGTTTTCCTTAAACGTTTTCCGTACCGAAAAGTAGAAACTTAACAAAAAGAATTAACCAACAAACAATAGGGGCCTTTTATTAGTAATTCCATTATACTACTCGTATTCACCACATACATATTATTTAGAATTATGGTTTTTTTTTACATGACCCTCCTAAAAACTATAGAGTACGAATTCCAGAAAGCTTAAGTGGAAACTTAGTTACACTTAACCTCAGGACATTAAAATATAACTCAGAATAAACACCAATCTCTGGAGAACTAAACTTGGCAAAGCCCTCAAAATAATGATGTGACGAGGATAATTACGAATATTCATTAAACATAGACGAATGATAACCACGATACTAAGACCTAAGGAACTCATAAAATATAACTCAAGAATAAATGTAACACACAGGACCACATAAATATATTGCAAAAATTTCCTCGGCCACCTTTGTCTTCCAGCGGGGTCTGGCAAGCAGGGAGGGAGCAGGGAGGTCACAGGGGGGAGTCGGTGCCTGACATTCCAGGGATGTCTGTTTTTTCTGTTTGTTTTCTCTCGCAAAGAATGCGCAGAGAGGGGAGTCACGTTTTGAGTTAAGCACAAGCGCACATAGCGAACAGGCAGTCTGTCCGAGTCGCGCTCAGCGTTGCGACGGGGCTCGCAAGGGAGCTGTGGCAGTCGTGCCTCGAGAAGAGATGGGACGACGAGACATCGTTAAAGTGGCAGCCTAAGAGCAGTCTGTCCGAGTCGCGCTCAGTCTTGCAACTCGGCTTGCGACGCGGCGTTGCGACGGGGCTCGCAAGGGAGCTGTGGCAGTCGTGCCTCGAGGAGAGATGGAACGAGGAGGGGTCGTTCGAGTCGCAGAAGTCTGAGTTCAACCTGGGTCGGGGCTGGGTTTCAGCCGTGCTCCTGCTGGCGGAGCGTCGTGAGGAAACGAAACACCGATGCCGATAGCAGGTGTCGCTTCTCGCAGAACGAAGTTAAGTGCGAGTGAAGCTGGCAGCTGCACGAACAAGGGAAGCACGGAGAAGAGAGAGTGACGAGTGACGACAAGCAATCAACCTGTAAAAGGGCGGAAATCACCAAGCGTCAACCAAGCGAGCAAAGCAGAGAGCGCGAAGCAGTGGAGAAAGCCTGGTCAAACGGCCGTGAGGAAGAGGACAGCGCCATCGAATGCGCAGTGTGTTTGAGGCGCACACCGACCAACGACCCAGTGAGAACAGACGTCGTCCAGAGCCACAAGCCAACACAGCCTGAAGCAAGGGCGAGTGTCCGTGTGAAGTTGGCAACGATCAAGGAGAGAGCCACAGCAGCAGCACGACCCGGGCGTCACTGAGCGTCGTGCCAACTCGTCATCTAGCAGTAGAGGGAGAGAGAGCGCAAGAGCAGCACGACTCGGACGTCACCGAGCGTCGTGCCGACTCGTGGAGGAGCTGCGCGCTATCCGGCGACGGAATCATCGCGCACCACGTCGGCGAGCGTCGTGCAAACTCAATCGAGCAATGGAGAGAGAGAGAGCGCACAAGCAGAGACACGCCCGAGCGAGGGAGCAGCACGACTCGCTGCGGCCACGCCCAACCCAGAGAAAACCTCTGGCCGCTGTTTGTATCCTCCCACACCACACAAGCTAACGACAACTCCCGGCTCTAAGAATTAATTAATTTTACAAGGGGACAACGCACACACAGCACGCACACGAATAAGACTTAAAAAAAATTATCTTTGCGTTTCAAAAAGGGTTGCCATTTCGAGGTGGTGCGTTCACTACCAACTGATCGTGCAAAGCAGTTGCTGCCGTCGAGTTACATGAATAAGAAATGTTTTAGTCATTCATTTTCGTTAATTGCATAATCTTGCCCATGAATTTATTGACGTATACTTGCTTTTGCATACTAGAGTGTCATGTGTTTGTTTAGAATTAAAATTGCTTAACACCAAGTCTCGAGTGCTTCTTTCCAAGTCCATGCAAAATTGTCTTATTCATAAGAGCTGTTACCTGCGATGAGATATGAAAATGGAGACCTAATATAACATAACACACACTAAGATAATCGATAAATGTTTAATCGATGATAATCGTGTTATCCTGATTGATATAACTCTGGATAAACGAAACTAAGCCTAATTATCATAACTGCTCACATTAACATAATCGCAAGCATCCGCATAAATCACTACGATTGTCTCCGCGATTATCATAATTTATGCATATAATTGCACACATTATCATAATTTATGCACGTCAATACACAAATTATCATAATTTATGCATAACATAACACACACTATCATCATTTATGCGATTTGCGCATTTTTCGGAAAATTATTAATTTTTATTTTTTTTTATCAAAATTTCATAATCCAACACATACAACAACCTCCCCCTGGCGTTTGACGCCGATGAGGTCACGCTGAGCGGTGACGTCAGAGAGCGGGGTCAGAGTTCAAGTTTGTTGACAGAAGGGGAGCGGCAGTGTCGTGGTGAGCGCTGCGCTCCGCACCCGACCAGCCGAGTTCCATTCCCGCTCGTGGCCAACACCGCCAGTGACGACTTTCTGAGCCGGTCCTGAGCCTCCCCTACGTCGACTCAGCCTCAAACGAGTACCCGGTGCGGTGTGTCAACATTGCCACTGGGGAGACAAAGGCGAACGGGCGTGGTGCTGGCCACCCAACCCCTCGTGTGCCGTGACGACCTCCATCGGTTCTGCTCGCTGTGAGCAGCACTTTGTAGATGTCGTGGCTTGGCTCTCCAGCCCACCGCTGGCGACATTTCACAATAAAATTGTCACATCCATAAAAAATCAGCATACTAACCTATGACGTTTTTGGCAAAATTGTCCCAATTTTTCTAGTTTTATTTTTAATCAAAAAGTGCATTCCTTGGTTGTGTTTAGCCTGAGTAGCCTATATATTACGTAAAAAAGTGGGGAATTTGATCCATTACATTTTCGAATATTAAAAAGTTAATAGGCATACTGTGCCGATTTTAGCCCAAATAAGCCCAACATTCACAGCTTTATTTTTGGATAATAGTTCATTCCTCTATTGTATTTAGCCTTAGTATGCCATGTATTAGAATAAAAGTGGAAAATTTCACGATGAAATGTTCACGTCCCGTTTTTGGGCAATGTTGGCCAAATTTTTCCAGCTTTATTTTTCAACAAAAGTGCAATCCTCGTGTGTGTTTAGCCTTAATATCTTTTATATAACATTAAAAAGTACGAAATTTCACCATGAAATTTTGAAATGAAAAAGAAAATCGGCATACTATGCCGTTTTTGGCCAAAATTGGCCAAACTTTCATAGCTTTGTTTTTTGACAAAAGTTAATTCCTCCATTGTATTTAGCCTTAGTATGCTATGTATTAGATTAAAAGTAGAAAATTGCACGATGAAATGTTCACGTCCCAAACAGAAAATCGGCACACTCACGTCTGCCATTTTTGGCCAAAATTGGCCAAATTTTCATAGCTAAACTTTTCCAAGAAAAAGTTAATTCCTCTTTTTTGATTAGCATTAGTATGCTGTATTATTACTATAAAGGTTTGATATTTCATGATGACATTTTCACGTCCTAAAAATTAAATTGGCATGACATTTTTGGGCTAAAAAACAAATAGGCATACTAACCTATGCAGTTTTTGGACACAATTGGGTTAGGCTTAGCAGTTAGGGTTCAGGGTTAGGGGTTAGGGGTAGGGTTAGGGATAAGGTTAGGGCTAGATTATTCCAACTCACTACTCTCCGGGACATCTGGCAAAAACATTACCAAGCTGAAGCGTGTACAAAATTATTTGTCAGGCGTCATGACGGGTACTGCAAAATCCGACCATGTCTGTCCAGTGCTCACCGAGCTGCATTGGCTTCCTGTTGCCGAACTCATACAATATAAGGTTGCACTCATTACATACAAAGCTCTTGCTACAATTGAACCACAATACCTTTCTGGTATCATCAAAGAGCATAACGATCATGCAAACTCTGGTCATCCTCACAGCAGCTTTTGGCTAATCATCGAATAAAAACGGTCGCTGCATTTCAAGCTTTCAGATGCACTTCTGCAGCAGTCTGGAATGTCCTTCCTTCCAATATTAGGAAGTCACTGGAGCTATGCATTTGTAAAATATAGATTGAAAATATCTTTTCTTGAGAACTGATTTTGTGCTTAGTTTGTTGTCCTTCCCCCGCACCTCCGATGATCATGTTTGGCTATGTACGGTGTGAAAGAAGATCAACATACACATCAACATGGACACTCGCTAAATAACCTAACCATCATGGACATTCGCTAAATAACCAAACCAACATGGGCACTCGCTAAATAACCTAACCAACATGGACACTCGCTAAATAACCAAACCAACATGGACACTCGCTAAATAACCTAATCATCATGGGCACTCGCTAAATAACCTAACCATCATGGACACTCGCTAAATAACCAAACCAACATGGACACTCGCTAAATAACCTAATCATCATGGGC